TGAATTACGACTGACGACTGTTTGTTAATTTCTTATTTACTATTATATATATATATATTCTTGGAAATTTGTTTGTAACTTGTTAACCAATAATTTATTGTATCTCCATGGTAACTTTTTATAAGACTGAATAGATGTCGCTACATATCCATCTTTGTTGCACACTATTGCATTCCTTGTCTGCGATAGTGCACTACCACAGATGTGGCAATTAATTAATTCCTACGTGATGTCCATAAATTAACCAAAATTATATTCACAAAACAAGCTAATTAAAGGGATTGATTTGTGAACTTTTATTATTGGATCTTCCCAGTTGGACTCTAAGCCTTTTTTTTACGTTCCATTTCAACTATAAAACACACGAATAGAGACATAAATTCTGTTCAATAGATCGTAGCACTCTCGCTTGAATAATATTTAATTCTTTGCGCATCACGTTTGAAATTTGACACAGAATCATTCGCAATCATAATTGGAAGATTAACAAAAAGTTGCACGTACAATTTTATACAATCAATAGCTATTAGCAATTATCGTTCCATCACTACATAAGAACGACTTGTACACAGTTTATGTTATAATGAATTAATTCATAAACTTTTTTGCACGTAAAATACAGGATCTGAGGTAGATTCTGTAATTTTGTAGAATTCCATTTACAATGCGATATAATAATTTTAATGACAATACGACACATCTTACGATATTTTTATAAGCTAATCTTTTTCAACGAAACCCATTTAATTACAGTTTAAAGAAATGTGATATTTCTTTTCGTTTTCTCAAATATAACACGTTGAACAAAAGTTTATTGTTCGTCATACGTGATCTATTCTAAGATTTTCGTAGTCAATGACAAATACTTTAGACAAAACCTCTGGAACAATTAAAAGTGTATATCTAGGAATTTTTTCCTTATTTGTTGGTCAGCATGAATAGCGAAACGTGTATTTGTTAAAAAGTGAGACTAGACTTGACACCGAACAATAAGGGATAGGTAGAATTATGAAATAGTAGTTGTCAGAAGTTTAATTGCCATTCACGAATTTCAATGTACTGTAAATTCTGCAAAACGGTGATAGAATGGCGAAGTGAAGTTGCAAATAGAAAATGGCGAAAATCGTGAAAGTATTCGAGTCGTTACCCACGGTCCTAGTTTGTGAATATTGTGCTAACCTTACGTTCAAGCAAATAGAAGATTTCATAAGGTGGGTCCGTCTGTCCCTTGTCTATTTGCAACAAAAAAATATCTCGCAACAGATAACTTCAACTTTAATGAATTTCCAATGCCGCGGACAGATCAAATTACTTCAAATCTTCGAGACACCTTGTACAACATTCATTCACATTTAAATCGTACGATAAGTTATTTACACCGAACATACTTGTATGAAATAAATTGCACAGTCACGAAATGCAATATAGCGACTAAAACGCTCAGAAATCAAAGTAGTCAACTTTTCGAAATGTTTTTTTTTTTTTAATTTTTATAAATATGTTATTAATGTTTGAGTTTTCAGAAATCGAGCGATTGATTCTAGCTATGTTGATTAGTTTAGCTTTTGTACAGCTTACGTGTACAATATTTTCAATTAACAATGTGTAATTTGGTTTCAGACATTTAAGAGATCAACATTGCTCTAGGGAAGGAGGTTCATTCGTATGCCTTTATGGTTATAATGGAGTATGCACTAGTCTTCCTGTGGAGGGTGTTTCTGACAAAGATTATATAGCACATGCTACTAAACACGCAGTAATGCAACAGCAACATAAAAGCAATGGTCAATTGTTAGAACCCTGTTCATCGTGGACTGTGTATTCCGCAGCACAGAATTTACCAGCTGTTTTAAATGATCCTTTCAAAGGAAAACAAAGTAACTTTCTAACTCGTACTTGGGGAGATGGATTTGTAGAGAAGGTTGATATACCTAAAAGTCCTTACCTTCCCGAAATCACAATGCAACACTTTGAATCATATTTAAAAAAAATTGCAAGGGTAATTAATACATAAAAACATAAAAAGTGATATGTGTTTATTCTATTAAAATGTAACTAATTTAAAGATCTTTTCTTTTACAGAGGTACAGAAAACATTCTCGTATGAATTCAAATATCAGTAGGCCAACTACACCTAACGAATTATTACAAAATTTCCCAAATTTAAGGAAAGTTAAATCCTTAGGTAAACACAACATTTATATGATAAAATAGTTACATTTTTATTGTGAGATATAGAATTCTTAAATTGAAAATTTACAGATCGAATGCAATTTGATTTGTCTAATATCCCAAAAATCTTTTTAACGCCTAATTTGGATCTTTCTCAGAAAGATAATTTTTATGCAGTGTTTCCATTTGCAAAAAATGGATTGTTAAATGAGGATTCTAATATTGTTACGAATGTAAAGCAAATGCAAGAAAAGGTATACCACTTGTATTAAAAATTACATAGTATAAATATTATATAAAAATTAAAATCAACAATATATTTTAATGTGTTTATGGAATAGCTAAGTCATTATTTAGATGTTGTGGAAGTTAGAATAGCAGAACAAGTTGCTTCCAAGTCTCAAGCATTTTTCCATGCTATGACTTCTCATGATGCCCTAATGGAGCAACTTACACAAACTATTACAGTTCTAAAAGCCCTTAGAAAAAATATACACCAAGTTGATAAGCATCTAGTCAATGATTCTTTAGAAATTTTAAGGTGAATTATGAAATTATTTTATTTTAATTCTAATATCGTACATGTATTAATTTGATTATATTTATAGGTTGGAACGGGCGAGATCTAACCGATTATTGGTTCAAGAAAAACTAAAACTTATGGCTACAGTACACCAAAGTCAACCAATGATACAATTGTTGTTGTCCACGCCAGATTATGTTGCAGCCTTAGATCTCATTGCTACAACACAAGAAATACTTTTACAGGAATTGAATGGAGTACATAGTTTTAGGTACGTTTATATAAATAAGTATTCCGATGATAAGATAAATATATTTGTATCTCAGTTAACATTTCTTTCTTTCTTCTACAGACATTTAAGTTCTCAATTGACAGAAATGGAAAAACTTGTTGATAAAATGTTATCTACAGAATTTCAAAGATACGCAACTGCAGATTTAAACAGACCATTAGGAGGAGAAAATACAGTTTTGGACGGTGTAAGTATATGTCAAAGTTTTAAAAATTTTGTCTACTTAGTTCGTAGCAAACAAACCGTCGTGCATCTCTTCCCAGTGAGATCATTTGTACATCCTCAACGAACAGGATAAACTTGTTTCCATCATTTCTGGTCTCCTGAGGCAAAAACATTTTCAATTTGTGGATACTTACAAAGAAGAAGCAGTGACGACGGTCCGTGCTGTAACAAAACAAAGGGTCATAGAAGCTTTAGCAGCGAGCGATTGTTGCAGTGATCAGCAAGCTGCAGCTTTGGAAGTTGGTGGACTTTCTCTCGCGGAAAGACTAACGTTACTTCACAATGCTATACAATCTTTAACATTCCTTTTGATGCGAGTTAAGGTATATATTGTATCATATTTTTCGAATTGTTTTGTAGTAAAATAGAACATTTTGACACACGATGTAATTTTCTAGGCTGTTCACGATGTAATGCGAGATACAGCAGATCTAGCGGCAGGCCGAGTGTGTGACGGATCATTCGATGATACGATTCCTGATCGCTTATTAACTCAAGCAGAACATTCGCGAGTAACAATCAAACTCAATGATATGATAACTTCCATTTGTGATTACTGTCATGAGCGAATGGGAAATCTGCTTTCTGCAGGTACAAATGATAAAGATAGATCACAAAATGAAAAAGAAAAATTAAACACTGAGAATTTAAATAATAAACAAGAGGAAAAAGAGTGTCAAAGTTGGAATGATAAATCATCTTGGTTAAGTAAAAGGGCGACAACAGCTCAAGTGTGTCAACTAGCCAATTTAGTTGAGGAGTTCACAGAAACTTGTGAAAAGCTCTGTGGCAAACAATGCACAGGTTTACGATCTGCATTTAAGGTATGTGTTATTTACAAATTGTGTATTTATATTATAGTAACAACGTACTAGCATTTTATATTTTGTAACTTGTATTTTCTAAAAATATAGGCGCAAGCTAGTAAATTCATTCAAAGATTTCATACCGAGCTCAAAACAAAGCTTACTCTTTTATTAGAATCTGAAAGATGGAAGCAAGCTGATGTGCCACCAGAATTTCAATCATTAGTAACATATGTGTATGAAAATAAAACTTTTCCGCCAAATCTATTTAAAGTTGATGATAAAGTTAGTAAAGACGGTGTTCAAAACTTCATTATGATAGAAGATGAAAAATATGCTGTTGTTGGTACAGCTTTAATGCTTATACAAATGATACACGAATATTGCAGGTAATTCCTTAAAAAATTTTATATCTATGAATATTTTGTGAAACACTCAATGAAACTTTATTTTTAGAACTGGGAGTGAACTAATAACTTTATCAGGAACAATAGGAAGACATTTAGCGGAATTACTGCGACATTATAATTCACGTTGTTGTCAACTTGTCCTTGGAGCTGGAGCAATGCAAGTTGCTGGTTTAAAAACTATTACCAGTACAATACTTGTATTAGCAGCACGTAGTTTAAAACTAATTTTATGGTTTATGCCTTATGTTAAATCACATTTTCAAAGTAAGTCGGTTCTTATTTAGCATTCAACTTGCGTAAAATTGTGATATTAATGCTTAGGTTTCGTCATAGTGTTTGCAGAACAAAACCCTAGTCGTGGACTTGGTACATCTGGTATAAGCGGCGGTGTTGCTCTATTGGATAGTGTTGAAAGAGATATTCGTGCACATGTAAAAGAAATTGAAAGCAAAATTCTTACCATTGTTGACAATCTACTGGGTGGTCAAATATCGAAATGGAC